ACAATCCTCCACCAGTCTTCACACGCTTGCATTTCACCAATATCGATTTTATTCCGCCACTCCAGCGGCAACCCTCAACATGGCTGGAGAAATCAGTGGGAATGTCTCCTCATTGACACTGGAGGAAATGGGGAAGAGCAAAAACCCTATGGATTTTTATCGACAGTACGTTGCCGAGAGGCTGGCTCCTATCGTCAGTCGACCGGCAGCAGAACTTATTCCCCTAATCCAATGGACCACGACTTTAGACAAAGGAGATCTCATGCTAGCAGCCGCCGCGTTGAGGGTCAAGGGGAAACCACCACAAGAGCTAGCAAAGGAGATTGTCGAAGCATTCCCCTCCGCGGAAGAGACCCTTGTCACGGTATCCCAGGCAGGTCCATTTGTGCAATTCTTCGCCAAACCGGAACACTTGATCAGCTTGACCATCCCGGAAATCCTAACCCATACGAGGGCATATGGCTGCAACCCTACCCCTGGCCTGAAAGAACCCTCAGACCCCTCCAAGGGCCGAAAGAAGATTATCGTGGAATTCTCATCACCGAACATCGCAAAAGAATTTCACGCGGGCCACCTCCGGAGTACCATCATCGGCGGTTTCTTGGCAAAGCTTTACCAGCGCATGGGTTGGGACGTCATTAAGATGAATTACTTGGGAGACTGGGGTAAGCAATACGGCCTCCTTGCCAACGGGTTCAAGCAATTCGGCAGCCAAGAGGAGTTGGACAAGAACTCGATTGCGCACCTGTTTCAAGTCTACGTGCAGATCAACAAGGTAAAAGAAGCCCAGGACGAGCCGATCAACGAGCTGAAGAAGGAGATTAAGGAGAAGAAGGACAAGGGAGAAGATGTGTCTGCGCTGGAAGCAAAACTCGCACCTCTCGTGGACGCAAGCGAGGATGAAAAGGCTCGAAAATACTTCAAGAGCATGGAGGACGGTGACCCCGAGGCTTTGGCATTGTGGCAGAAGTTTCGGGACATGAGCATCCAGAAATACCAGAACACGTACGCCCGGTTGAACATTGAGTTCGATGTGTACTCTGGCGAGTCGCAGGTGAAGGCCAAGACCATCAAACAGGTCCTGGACAGTCTGCTGGCGCAGGGGATTGCAGAGTATTCCGATGGTGCTATCTTGATTGATTTTGCCAAGCATGGCGCCAAAAAACTCAACAAGGCAATTATCGTGCGAAAGGACGGCACCCCGTTGTATCTCACCCGGGACCTGGCTGCAATTTTGGAGCGGCATGACCAGTACCAGTTTGACAAGATGATCTACGTGGTCGCGGATCAACAGAACGAACATCTGGCACAATTGTTCAAGACCACCGAGATCAGTGGGCACAAGGACGTGGCGGAGAAATGCGAGCATATCTCGTTCGGGATGGTGAAGGGCATGAGTACCCGAAAGGGTACGGTCAAGTTCTTGGACGATATCATCCAGACGGTCAAGGACACCATGCTTGAAGTGATGAAGAAGAATGATCAGAAATACGCACAACTTGACGACCCGGATGCAGTTGCCGATGTGCTGGCCATCACTGCGATTATGGTGCAAGATTTGACAGGCAAGGTGCGGAACGGGTATGAATTCAACATCAACCAGATGACGGCATTCGAAGGCGACACCGGTCCGTACTTGCAGTATGCCCACGCACGATTGTGCTCGATCGAGCGAAAAGCCAATGCCGACTTGACGGCTTTGGGCTCTGCGGATCTCTCCTTGTTGAAGGAATCCCACGCCATCAATCTGGCTCGGTCACTTGCACAATTCCCGGATGTGGTGCTCAACACGCTCAAGACTCGAGAACCTGCCACCGTGCTCACTTATCTGTTCAAGATGGCGCATGCGCTCAGTTCGAGCTACGACCACTTACAAGTGGTGGGGAGCGAGCGTGAGCTGCAGAAGGCTCGCTTGGCACTGTACGAGGCTGCCCGACAGGTGCTGTGGAATGGCATGACACTACTGGGGTTGACCCCGGTGGAGAGGATGTAAGATGGAGTGACATGGAAGCATTCAGAAGTTCCGATCCGAGAACGGGTGTTTGTGGACAGGGATGTCCTCGCATCTCGGCGGGAGAACCCGGGCTGGTGCAGCTGCAACTAGATCGAAGGATTTGATGGACGCGTTCGACTATCATGAAGTTCGGCTGTTGAGTTCATGCAACAAGACAACCACAAGCAGGGATAGCCGGCTGACCAGGGCAAGTTCAGACAAGGGATCAGGCTGATAAGGATGTTAGAGCGGCTGCAGCGACTAGCCTCACAAGGCCGCATTTCTGGTGTCCGGGGGCTCGGGGCTCGATGTACCAGTAGGTAGACATTTTGATGTTGATGGTGCACTCCTTCCCCTTTTCAAGGCTGAGCTGAGGGAGGGGTGCATGCGAACGTAGACGAAGTTGGGTTTAGTCAGGGCCAAAAATCTGTCTGCCAGCGTCACAGCGCGTTGGGCAGCCACACCTACGTACCCTGATCATCATATCGCCACCACCCGGACCGCATCTGGAGGGGTCAAGCTGTTTCTCCTCTTCTGGTATCGGATCCAAGACGAGGACGGAATCCCAAGGCAGCAGTTCCAGGTTGGTGGTGGTGGTTCAGGCTGATAGGAGCGGAGGACCTTGCAAAGAAACACGTCTCGTGGAATAGAGTACAGGTGTCATCCGTGCTGGGCCCTGATAGGCCGAACGATGGGAGAGTTGCAGGCAGAAGAGATCAATTGAAGCGTGGATGGAGGGGGAAAAGAATTGTTTGATAGAGGAAGGGGAGGGGATGCGAATGAGCGGCGGCGAGCCTGAGGCACGCGCTCCAGTAACCCCCAACATCCTAGCACCAGCATCAGCATCCGCGGTCAGCTCCAATGAAGGAGCGTATCTCTTCACGGTCATTGTCTGCGTGTAGGCTCCCCGCGTTTTCTGCTGCCCACCAACAGGCTGCTGTGCCACAAACTAGGTCATGGTGTTGTATCACAATGCCATCCCCTACGTGAGCACCCTCCACGTTTTGTCTGACACTTGGAAGATGCTGGCTGGCAGACTGGAGGAATTCAGGCAGATAGACCATGGATCAAAGCAATGGGCTGCATATGCAGTCGGGGGCATGGGGATATTTTTCATTCTTGCTGTGGCTGTCGACACCTCCCGTCGTTGAGGTTATCAACGACGCAAGTTCTCTGGAGGAGCATCCTGTTCAAGCGAGGCGAGACGCTGAGGGCAACAAGGGTGGGATGCACGGGGGACAGGAGTGGCAGACGGTGACAGACGGTGGCAGTCGCCATCCCATCGAGTGGATATTGAGGGCACCAGAGGGTGCGGTTGAAGGTAGGCAGCAACTAGCGAGCGACCTGTTGATTGTTCGACTTTGCTGAATGGCCCGAACGGTTACCGGGGATGTATAGGTTGGGCAGCTCATTGGGCTTTATCTTCCATTCAGAAGGCAGCAATCCTCACGACAACGCGCATCACGCAACTAAAGGCTCCCGCTTACACCGGCCGGGGGGGAGGAAGATGGGAGATGGCGAGGATTTGAGGAATCTTCGACGCCGGTCGGCGGATGCGCCCATGGGCCATCACACTTTTCACACTCTCCCCTCCTCGCACCCTACGCACCTTGGGCTCATCCTCGCTGCCACTCGCTGCCACTCAATGCCAGTCTCTCGTTTTGCCCGCGCCATTTTCTTCTCTCTCTCTCTCTCTTTCTCTCGTGGACCCTGGTTCTGGGCAAGTGGCTGTCTCAGGTAAAGGGGAAAAAAAAATCAAAAAAGAAAAACCTCCTGTTCGTCATTCTGCAGCTGGTCCAGTCATTCCTACACCCATCCTGACCCATCCCGCTTAGTTGCTGAATTTTTGGCACCGCTCATCCTCTGATTCTTCTCTTGGTCTCTCACTTACACACACACACACACACACACACTCACACTCCTACACGCACACACACACGCCCGCACGCTCTCACACCCTCTCTCATTCCTTGTTGCCTGCCCCTCGCTCCTCTTCCCCTCCTCTTCCGCGTTGCCTGCCTAGAGCCACGCGTAGTGGGGTCGAGACAAGAATGACTCCCTTGCAACAGAATATCCTCAGCAAAAAGCGCCATTAACTCTTCCATCTTTCCCCTCCCTCCATCAGAGTCCTGTCGACAGTCAACAGCGAGGTCTACCGTGCAGAGTCTCATTGCTCTGTGGCTGATCTCTGCAGCCCGCCTTCGCATTGACAGGCGCGCATATTCTCCCGGCAAATCACCTTCGCACACGACTGCCCCTTCACCTGAGATCATCGTCGAGACGACGGAATACCTGTGTCCGCTTACGCTTCCTCCAGCGCCGGAAAACGGTATTTTGTGCGACCGGATTCTTGCATTGGCCATCTCCCAAAGCCATTGTTACAGCATTCGGATGTGGAACAAGCCTGAGGCAACTTGTAACCTGCGATTCAAGAGCGGGTGGAGCGCACAACACTACGAGGTGATTGAGACGGAAAAATAAATCACATCCCGAAATGGACCCGCAACCATACGAACTGGTCTGAAATTATTCTCTGGGATCACAGAAAGAACGAAACGGTTAGAGGCGATTAGGTCTGAGGGCCAATCCATCTACAAAGATTCCTGGGGGCAGACAATAATACGATTGCTATTTCAGCAACAAAAGCCCCCGGCACGCCACGAGCCGCGGCCACTGGAGGATCAACCCCTCAAGAAGGATATCAGCGCATATCGTTTTCGGGGACTTTAGCAGCCTTACGGGCCGGAACACCCCTGCAAAATAAGTACCTTGCCGTTTAAATTTAGCGGATCATCTTCGGTCAGGGCCCCTGTCACTCCACTCCACTTCCCCCCCAAGGCTCAAGACCAACAGCGGTCACAACACCCCCCTCTAGATCCCACCACCCCCCCCCCAAATCCATAAACTCATTTCCCCGTTCACGTCCAAGCATAGGCTGGTACCCTCAACAATCACCACAAAGCCACATCCATCAAGTCGTCGCATTTCCACATTGCCCGCCGCTTCCATGCCCCAATTTGACCGTCGTCGTCCCCGGGCAGCCACTTGTGAGGACTGGGACGAGGACACCCAATCGGCCCTTCCAGGCTCTCAAACTACCGCCAATGTCTCCGCCAAACGTTCTCAGCAAGACCTCGCTCTGCCGCAGCGTGAGAAGAATGAATTCAACGTCGATGGAGGCGACTCAGGCTATGTCAGTCGGGCGGGCACCATAGCTGGGGAATCCACAACCTCGGCTCGGCGCAAAATGCCAGACTTGAAGCTCGACACCGGCATCCGCGAGAGAGAACGAAAGCCTTATCTCATCTCCCAAAATGGTCATTCGCTACCATCCAGTCGTCGCCAATCTTCGTCTCAGTTGAATGATCCGTCATCTGATCCACGACCTTTCAAAGCCAAGCATGACATGCATGAGCGAGGGCATGGCGGGAGCCACGACTATTATAGCAAGCACGCCGACACAAAGCAAGACCTGTCTCGAGCCCAGAAACCTGCTCCTCCGCCTTCTTCTGCAGCAGGAGTCAAAACTTTGGTTCCAAAAGGCGCAAAAGATGACCAGGCATTACCTGTCAAGGTCCGAAGGTCCTCCTCAAACCAGCAACCTAGACCGCTGAGCATGTTTTCCAATGCTCCGGTTCCAATACAGTACATCAACCATCCGATGTATGGGCCTCCGTCCGTTGCCACGTCAGGCTATGCAACCCCAGTCACGCCCAACGTACCATACAGTCCGGTGCCATATTCATATGTCCTGCCTACACCATTGCCAACGCCTTCATACGCGGTTTACCAACCACTTCCCTCTTACTTCAACCAACCGCCCGACCCTGAACCACGCTCGGGAAGGCCAAGTCGACATACAAGCCCCAACCGGCGGTCAAGTGTCTACGGCGAACCCGTCATCCGTCAAGGGTATGCTGACTCGGGAATCATGACTCTCGAACGGATCCCTTCAAAAGAGATTCGGCCAATGCCGCCATCTCAAAAATCTACCCGCAACCTTGAAGATGATGACCGGGCAATCATGCCACCTCCGCCTCGGCCGACCCAACCCGAAGTCGTCCTCTCACGCCGACCCAGTAATCGAAGGGCGAAGACGTATCATCCGCAGGAACCACGGCTTCCCGAAAGGGTTATCTATGAGCCGGAGCGCTACGAAAGCGATGACGAGCAGGACTACCGGCCGTCTCGACCTCCTCCTTCCGCCTTTCGTGAGCGCAGAGAGTCTACTTCTCGTCCACCTTCGTCGTACCGTGCTACTGGCTTGGTCGAGACGCGCGATCGCCCCTTGCCCAGAAAATCCGTTTCCTATTCAGCAGGAACAACCGTGACGAAAATAGCGACCTCCGCTCCGCACCATGTCCCTCGCCGCATGACCGTGCCTCTAGAGGAAAAAGAAGCTCGGATCGAAGAGTACCAGTCGAGGCGAAACAAGACTTCCAACGAGTTAACTGCTGAAGCTCTTCGTGATTTGGACCAGCGCAATTCAAGTTCAAGATCTGAGACAGGGAGTAACTTCAGTCGGCAGTCGTCCTCCAAGGATTCTTCCGGCCGCGGAAGAAGCCAGACCAGCGGCACGAAGACGAGCATAACCCTTCCCGGCGGCTTGAACATGACCATTCCTCCTGACTATATCAACAAAGATGGACGGCCTCTCAGCATCAGTATCGGAGGTCTTGTCCTATCAGTGGGTGCCGAAGGCAAAGAGAACGACCGCCCCAAGGAGCAGAAGAGGATTGAGCGTGCACCAAGTGTTGCGAGTCGCACCTCCAAGAAGAGCCACTCCAGCAGTGTCATCTCGGGCCGAGAAAGGGATCGTGAGATGTCCGCGTCCAGACGGCCTTCGCATTTGGAAGAACGAGGCCCCAGTCTGCGATCCAGTCGTCAGCCTAGTCGAGCCCCTAGCTTGCACCGGCGCAGCCACGACTATTCTGGGCGTCAAAGCGTCGATTACAGCTACCTTGATCTATGAAACATCTGCCGCATGTATTATGTCCTTTGACCCGTCTTCGGAGCGGAGCTGGTTCTTTGTCTATATTCTCTATGCTTGTGTTTGGGTCGGTCATTCTCACGTGTCGTTTTTCCAAGTGTTCAGGATATTCGCTTTTTATGGCGGGCAAATTTCAGGCCCCTGGATCTCTTTGTTGTCTTCTTCAGGCATGCTGTGCTTCTTAATGAGGCCCGTTGTGCCTGTGCCGCTGCTGCTGCTCTTCTGCTGGGTTGGAATAATCGCCAACCTGTTCTTTCGTTGGAAAAGCAGACCTCAAAAAAGCCCAACACAAAAGTTGTTTGATACCCTCGGTCACGCTTTATGTGTGTTATACGACCCAAAAGCGACATCAAGGCAGGATTTCTGTTTCCATCTGCTTATCTGAAGAGTGATGGGATCCTGGTGGCACTTGGATGCCACATGAAAAGCAGCGAGCGGCACTTTTTCTTCGGGAGATGTGTTTACACAATATTCTGACTTTGCATCCTTTATTTCCGTTTGGAGAGCTCTCCTGTGCCTCTTGTTGAAGACCCAGTTCTGAGGCGGTTGATATGGCTGGCCACATCAACCTAGAATTTTGGTGATGGGAAGCACTGAGCAGGATGCCGATGGGGCACCCTCACAAGACTGTCGAATTTGAGTTTGGAGATGGATGCCGAGGACGAACTCTGTGTTCTTTCCATGTTTCCGGCGACGATGTTACGAATATATACGATGGGATGACATGAATGACATGGCACGGCGCTGCAAAGATACCGGTCGACGGAGACTGGGCACAACTTGTAGGCTTGACTTACGGGCTGTCCAGGCGGTGCTTGGACTTCCCCCGTTGAATCAAAGGGCAACACTCGTCCCCGCTGGGCCTGGGAAGATTTTCACTGCGGGTTTATATTTCGTCTTAGCGCCCGCCCGCCAGACTGACCCGCAAGCACCCGGCTAGCTACTTTCCTGAGCAGATAGCAAAGAATCAATAATAATAGCAGAATCGAAAAGTAAAGGATAAAAATCCACATCGACTGACAATGACCGGCTCGAGAAACCGAACAACCCACTGCTGACTTTTTGTGTATCTAGCGAGTTACATAGATTACCTTATGCGAGAGAATAGCGGAGTACTTTTGACGTCTCGGCGTTATGTGGCCGGCTTTTATCTGCCTAGCTACCCACCTACATACAGTGCATAGGTCGTTGGTTCCCCTGGTTGGGAGAAGGGAAAATATCTCCATCGAGTCAAAGGTAGGCTTGGGATCGTGTTCGTCTTCGGTCGTTAATACTCGTAACTAATCGTAACTACTTAGAGCAGTCACGCCGCCTTTGGACATTGGCATGGTATGGGCAAGGGCATCGTGCCCCCATCGTCCACGTCGTCTGTATCATCTCTGGTGCTCCCTATCGTCTCCGGCGTCGCCCTGTCTTCGGCGCCCGGGCGGGCGTGCGAATCTATCTCAAGCAAGTCTTGGCACGTAGCTCCGGGATGTGTACTCGATATCGGTATCTATCCATGTCCACTCCGGTTCGTCGAGTATGTGTGTTTTGTGCACTGTTAACGTTCTCTTGCAGTAGAGCACTGCCTTCTTTCTTGATTCCTCTCTTCGTTTCCCGGCTTCATCCATCATCTCAGGCGCAGCCGCGATGTTCCGTCCTGCTGGAAGATCGCTTGGTTATGCCATCCTGTTCCGTGCTCTTGTCCTTGGCGTTACCTTGCTGGCCTTTGTGCCCCCGGCTTGGGACAGGAGATACATGTATGTGGTGCGAAACCAAATGATAAAGATAGAGATGGAGAGATCCCCTGCAACGGCCTCAATACGCTCCTTGGTACAAAGGCCACATGCCATCAAATCCTCTGTATCTCTTGATCACCATTTCTCGGGGGTCCATTCGGGCGACTGGCGCCTTTTGGAGGGGGAGATTCAAACTGGGCCGACGCTCTCCTTTGTCTCCCAGAGCTCATGTTCACGTTCGTGTCTCATGCTAGTGCCCGCGCTTGCGCTCGTGTTCGTCTGTTTACTCACCATGCTTGATGCCCAAGAAATGAATCCCCTCGAGATTGAAATAGTACAGTAATTTCAAAAAGTCGGCCTCGTCGCACATCCGTGCCCGCTTGTCCGCCAGGGACGTCTTGTCTTCCAGGACGGAGCGGACTTTCTCGCGGACCAGGAGGAAGACTTTGTCGCGCTTTTTGCGGGAGATGGAGCGCTCGGCGGGGCGGGGTCGGCGCTTGTTGTTGGGTTGTTCTTTCAGCAGACTGGGAAGGTTGTTGTCGTCGTCCTCGTCTTGGTCGTCGTCGACGTCCATGAAGCCGGACCATTCCTCTTCACCTTCGCTGTCGACCGGGCCGTCTCGTTGGTTCTCGACTTCCATCAGCATCACCTCGTCAGCCGGGCCTTCGTCTAGCGGAATATCGTTCTGTGCACACCAGGTGCGGTAGTTCTGTTCCAATATGTTCAAAATGCTGCTCGTGCCCAAAAAATTGGCCCTGAGTGTCTTATTCTTCCGCACGAAACACACCCTCAATAGTCCATCCCACTCCTCATAACTGATGTTCGGTCTCGGTACTTTGGGCACCAATCTCACAACGCTGGATTCGACCTGCGGAGGCGGTTTGAAGTTGTTCTTGCCGACTTTCATTATATGGTCTATTTTGGCCCACATTTGCGCGTTGACGCTGAGTCTGGAGTATAACTTATCGCCTGGCTTAGCGAAGAGACGCATGGCGAATTCGCGTTGGAACATCAATATGCACACCCTGGGTGCCGGGGCTGTGGCAAGGAGTTTAAAGACCAGAGGTGAGGAAATCTGGTAAGGGGTGTTGGAAATGCAAACATCAAAGTAGGGTAGTTCTGTCTTGATCACGTCTCCCAACAGCACGTCTAGCCTCTTCTGCTGGGGTGTACCTTGGACTCGCTTTGTGACTTCGGCAGCCATGCGCGGATCGAGTTCCACGGCTATGCACTTTTTGGCCTTTTCCAAGATTTTCACCGTGAGGTTCCCGCTACCGGGGCCGACTTCCAACACAATGTCGGACTGCTTGAGATCGGCTTTGTCAACAATTGCTTGAGCAACGCCGGGATTCTTAAGAACGTGTTGACCGATGTCCGTGTTCATTTTGAAGATGGCGTTCGAGAGAGTGGAGGGTTTGGAGTAAGGTGAAGACGACGAGGATGCGCCGAGGCGCCTCTTTGCGTTGACCTTGGGCATTGTGGGCAAATTCAACACCACGGCCCCTGGGATTTGTTTTCGAGCACAGGGACGACAAATAGCAGTGTCGGACGGCTGGCGAGGGTGTAGATATTGGAGTTGAATGTCTGCACAGGAGCATTTTTTGGGCCGGACCTTTTTGGCGGTGAGAGGCGGCAGAATTTTGGTGTGTGGGGGAAATCGATCTGAGGGTGCAGAGTGGCAGCCTTGTTTGCCTTCCATTCAAACAACCTCTGAAAGTCGTTCGCCAGTCTCATTCTTCCTGCTACTTATTTCGTCTCCCTCAGCAGAGCATCCTTCTCGCTCCTTTCGACACTCTCCATCTCTCTTGGCAGCTTCTGAGCGCTGCCGGCAGTCGCTCATCGCTATGTCGCGACGCGACTTTCTGAACCAACAAGCCCCCGAAAATTACGTCGCCGGTCTTGGTCGAGGCGCAACCGGCTTCACCACTCGATCCGACTTAGGCCCTGCTCGAGATGGGCCCAGTGCCGAACAAATCCAAGAAGCTCTTGCCCGACGAGCCCAGCAACTCGGTGCGGCACCCCCGACCGCATACGGCGCCGGCGCAAAGAAACAGGACCAAGAAGAGGAGGATGACGAGCGGTTTCAGGACCCAGATAACGAGACAGGCTTGTTCGCCTCTGGTACTTTCACTCAAGACGATGACGAGGCAGATAGAATCTATCAGGACGTGGATGAACGAATGGGCAAACGCCGGAAAAGGCTCAGGTTAGTACCACCCTTCTTGGTTGCCCCTCCCTTCATTAAGACACGTGGTTTATCTTTTCCACATGGAAATGAACAGATTACCGACATGATCTCCTTCGCCGTCCTCTAGGGAAGAACGAGAGCGAGAAGAACTAGAAGAATACAATCGCAAGAACCCCAAAATCTCAGATCAGTTCGCCGACCTGAAACGAGGCCTTGTCACATTAACCGACGACGACTGGGCGAACATTCCAGACCCCGGCGATTTAACGGGCAAGAATCGAAGAGCAAGACAGGATCGTAATAATCAGCGCTCTTTTGCCGTCCCTGACAGCGTCCTGGCGAGAGCAAGGGATTCCACCGAGTTTTCGACCAGCGTGCAAGACGATGCCATGGACGGTGCTGCTACGAGTGCAGATAACAGAGACGGAACCATGACAAACTTTGCCGATATTGGTGCAGCAAGAGACAGAGTGCTGCAAACTAGGTTGGACAGGGCGGCAAAAGCGGATGCCGGTAACGGCACGGCAACGACGATTGATCCCAAGGGTTATCTCACCAGTCTGGAGACGTCAGAATTCGACCCATCCAAGGTACAGCTCGGCGAAATTCAACGAGTCCGCATCTTGCTCGACTCTGTTATCAAGACAAACCCGAAGCACGCGCCGGCTTGGATCGCAGCGGCCCGTTTGGAGGAATATGCTGGGAAGATTGTCGCGGCAAGGAAAAAGATGGCTCAGGGCTGTGAGATGTGCCCGAAGAGTGAAGACGCTTGGTTGGAGAATATTCGACTGAACGAAGGACAGAACGCCAAGATTATTGCTGCAAACGCTATCAAGAACAATGAACGGTCGACGAGGTTGTGGATCGAAGCCATGAGACTGGAGACGGATCCTCGGGCGAAGAAACGGGTCCTCCGGCAGGCGATTGACCATATTCCCCAATCGGTGGCGATTTGGAAAGAAGCAGTGAATCTGGAAGAGGATCCTGAAGATGCGAAACTCTTACTTGCAAAGGCCACCGAGATCATACCATTGTCCGTCGAGCTCTGGCTTGCTCTAGCTCGTCTGGAGACG